CCTCTGCTCCCCTCTCCTTTTTTCTCCCCTCCTCTCTCTTCCCCCTCCCCTCCCCTCCCCTCCCCTCCCCTCTCTCCCCTCTCCTCTCCTCTCCTTTCATCTCACCTGCTCTCTCTTCTCTCCCATTCCCTTTCCTTCCTCTTCCTAGGCCTTAGCCATCTTCTCTTGCCCTCCCTTTCCCTCCCCACCTCTCCCCTCACTCCCTTTCTTTTCTTCTGAGAGAGGATCTAGCTTGGAACACATTCCATTTCCCAAATATTGGAATGATAGGCATGTATCAGCATGTCTGGGTAACTACACAGGAACACAGCAAAGTCCCACAAAACGCAAAGTAATTCCTTCCAATGACAGTTCTCCCAATGACTTAACCACCTTACACTAAACCCCACCTCCTGATACCATCACACTGAGAGCTACCGCTTTCTTCTTAAATGAAAATCTCATGCATACCACACTATAGTGGTTTCCCCAGGCCACTCAGCATCGGGTATAAAAACTGACATCCCAGCTTTATGACACATAGCTTCCTGCTTTCTCTTATCCAACAGGAGATCACTAATCTCCCGTGACTCTTCCAGTCATTCCTGGTATTCTCAAATGTGCAAGGACATGTGCTTAGAATGTACTGCCAGCCCAAGTGTCATAGAACAAGGCCAGCTCCCTGCTTCTGATGACAACTGAAGCAGCTGCCACTCATGCCTCCGAGGCTGCTGCTGTCACAGTGCATACCATCAGTGCCTAACCCCCAACTATGCTTACCCTGCTGCACTGATTCCCCTCAAGTCCTGGTGTACATTGCCAGTGACCCCTCAAGGCTTCCGATTCTGCAAAGGAAGCTTTTAGTGTTGCTTCAGCTCCATGCCTTCCAGGGAGTCACATGGGATTTCACAATGATGGTCTGGAGTATAGGACAGCCACTGAAGGGGTACATGTCTCTTGAAGCCAATCTTTCCCTTGTTCGGATCAGATGCTATTGCCCAACTGGATTCTTAAGACAGGGCTTCAGAACTGGGAACATTCCACTCTTTCCAGCCCTATGTACATTGGCAAAGTGTGGAGATACTTTTGATTCTGACAGCTGGATAAGGAGAGTGCTGATGGCACACAGTTGATGGAGGCCTGGAATGATGCTGAATACTCTTCAGCACACAGAACCAATCTTCCCACATAGTTCCAAGCTTATTTTCATGGTGAATTTGAGAAGCCATGTGTATCATGAGTTCTATGCCTAAGGGTACAACACCTCTTGCAAACAGATCTATGGAAGCCTCTAGACCACCAGATCTGTTTGACCATGTCTGGCCAGCTTTCATATCAGGAACCTAAGATGACCAGTCCTTCCTCAACCCCACGATTTCCATGTGTTTTGTTGAGGTTTTTTTACTCCACATCTTTCTGCAAACAGCACTGTGTTTAAGAGTGAATCCTATACAGTAAGACTGTCAGATCTGATAGACGCATCCCTTCTATTGCTAAGATGGCCAGCTCTGGAGACATACTACACTGATTCTTAGGGAACCAAATATGTGTGTGTGGCTCCCTGCACAGCTCTCAGAGGTCACTGGAATGCATTTTCTTACCTCTAAGCCAAGATTTGGGCAATGGTCCCCATGCTTCTATAAACAGTTCAGTCCAACAGAACTCAAAGACCAAGGAATTGTGACTCTGACTTCTCAGGAGATAAAAAATATAGTTCAGCATAAAGGACTGTCATACATGTTTTCTGCCTAAAAATGTATCGTAACTACTCTTGGCACTGTGTGACGATGACTTGGGGAAGAACAAATGATTTTATTGGGAAAGTCATCCTTAAAAGGTACAGTCTTTATGATGTAGATGCAGAATTTTCAGTTTCCATATTGAGGTCTAAGAATTGGGGCTGTTGAAGCAATGGGGCGTATTCTTGGATCCAAGAGTACTCCCAAGAGGGGTTGACAAGACCTGAGTTCCCTGCAATAATTTATAGTTTTACTGACTACCCTACCACAGTATCCCTGGGGACATGCTCACAGAAGTAGGCCTGTTACTTCAGTAATATAGATAGCATTGTCCAAATACAAATGATTCGTAGCATAAACCTAAAAGTCTATATATGGCATGAGTCAGTCATTTTTTACTTCTTTTTAACCTTTATCTCGGAAACAAGCCATATCTGCACATGTTCATCTAATCACACATATTCCCATAGACTTTTGACAAGGACAGGTCAGTCAAATAGAAAAAGTTTTGGAAAATACAAAGACCATTCAGACATCAGTAGTGGGACTTGCACAATCTCAGAGAGGAGTGGTTTCTTTGTAGGTCATTTGAGTCCTGCCTAGGAGATTGGAAACTTCTTCAAGGGAAGACATGACAGCCCTACTTGTTGTTTATAATCCCCTGGTAGAATGTCTAGCATGTGCTGTATTGTCAACAAATGCTTGTTGAATGAATGAAGAAAAGAATTCACAAACACCTAAAATGGAGAACTGGAGGCAGATACCCAAGCAAGCTTGGATTTGCCTTTCTGAAACCCTAACCTGACCACTTAATGGTTAGGCCTGATCTATCTCTCTTGATTTAAAAACACCAAAGACAGAGGCAGCAAAGACATTACTGGAAAAAAAACAGAATGCTTTAACTCAGGCTCAGCAAGTGCCTCCCTCCTGATTCAGGCATAGGTCCCCAGCAACCCCTCCACACACAACTTTACAGCACAACTTCTCCAGCCCCTGGCCTGTGTGCACAATTTCCTTCCACTCTGGTGGAGGAAGCAGAAGCATTATCTGGCAAGTTTGCTAAGGGAATCCTTGTGCACAGGGACTCTCTCAGAGGCACGTCTGAAGCCAGGCTGAGCATTACATGCCTGTTGCTTGGTGTCAGGGTGACCTTCCTTACAAAGCTCTTCCTTCTTGATCCATCCTTTCTGAATTCTTCCCGTCTTCCAAGTCCCTATCCACCCTGAGCACTTACCACACTTCCTACGTTCTACCCATCCGATGACTTGGTGTCTGAGCTCATTTTATCTCCCAAGTACATTTTTCTGGGGCAGGAACTGTTCCTTCTGTTGTTTCTGATGTTTCCCAGCAACTCCAGGAATGTGGATTTTACTTTTAGATGTTATAACAAAAAACATCTAGCAATTTGACCTCTATAAATAGGGCCAAGATATTTCTGGAGTCTATGACTTAGATTATTGTTTGAATGTTAACAATGGAAAAGGGGCACAGGAAATACCAAAATATCTCAAAATACCATCCCACTGGCAGAACTTCTCTATTGGCTCCCAAGAGACACCATTTCACATCATCTCCATACACATATACTTGTGTGCGGAGATATACTCATGCCTCATAGGCATGTATATAGGCATATGTATGTACATGCCATATATGCATATACACATAAATATTTATGCATGTTTACATTACATGCATATACACATACAGTTACACACATACATTTGAAGAGCAAACCCTCAGACGAACCTAGCAGATTAGCTACACGGTATGCTTAAAAGAGAAGGACATAATAAGCAACACATAAGCTTTGGTGAGGATTGAATCTAGAGCAGTCAAGAGCCGAAGACCTGGACCTGGGAGTGCTGAGCCAAACGGCTGCTTTCTTAGGACCTTAAATCACTAGGTGCTGGGATAGTCAGTTATGCGGTTCAGACTCTGTTTCCCTGCCTGTAGTGACATGATTGTCCTGTAACCCAAGATCACAACTGGTGGATTCTGAGAAGGGAAGCGAGGCTGACAGCTGGAAGTAGAAGAGACAGGAAGCAGTGAGCACAGCGAGAACAGACTCTCCGGAGACAGCTTCAGTGAGACAGCTCATTCAAAGGGGGCACAAAGGCTACTTAAAACTTTGTGGGGTGGGTAGGGACTTTCAGAGTGAATGTGCATCATTGGTTGGGGCCAGGATGCTGGGGCTGCCTTATTTGCATAAGGAAGAATTCCAGGTGCTACATTACATGACCTTATATGCAGGGAGAAGTCTAACCAGGCTATCAAACTATGTGACCTCCTGGGGTCCGGAGAGGCAAAAGTGGGTGCACAGTCCAGGACAGCTGAGGCAGGGATACCATACTTCTGTACGATCAGGATGAGATTCTTGAGGTTTCGATATGCCTCGACCCTCCTCTTGTTCCCAGCCTGCTCCACATCCTCACTCCATGGTTCCCTGGCTCCACACAGTTGTAGGAGAGCAATGGCACAGTGGTAGGGTTTGTGTATGGAGACATACACATATGCTCATAGGTGAAGACCCTCTTCAGGGACTGTAGCTATAACGGAGTTCTCAATTGTAAGTTGTACTGTTATACTCCAGGCTTTTCTTTTCAGGCTTTTGTTCCTTCTAGTTGTACAGAAATCTTTTAATCAAAACTTTTAGGCCTAGGGCTTTATATGTCTACATGATTAGTTCGTGAAGAGTGAGGTTTCTTCCCACCTTCTTGGAAGGGTGGGATACATAGAAGGTACTGGTGTTTCCTTAACAGTCAGGATGAAGATGAATATTTCTAAGGCTTCCCACAGTCTTAAACCGAAGATGATGGTTTACTGTGGGTCATTTGGTAATGAAGCCTGTGTTGTTTATCTCACACAAGGGAAATATCCACAGGTAAATATTTCTGTTGTACCCTCTCTGGACATTAGATTTCTCCTCTGTAACACAGAACCAATGTCTTATACCTCAGAGACTTCCCAGAACCTGTTCTAGGACAACTTGATGCCCCAAAGGAGGCTAATCCAGTGGTTGGAGTACTCTAAGGTATCTCTCATCTGACATTTTATTTACCACATCTGCATATTTAAATGTATTTGTTTTCCTGATAAGATAAATAAAAATTGAGTGTCCAACCAGGGTGCCCTTCTCTTCTGTTTTGAGTTTACTTTAAGTCTCTCTTTGATTTATAAAATATTAAGGGAAAAGAAGGAGGAAGATGGCAGGGGAACATTGGTCTGTGTCTTACTATAAATGTGCAGACAGACTAGACACACATGTGTTTTGTTTTCCAGGGAGATGTGTATCCAACAGGATGGGAGAGTTCATCTCACCGTTGTTTACTTTGGGAAAGAAGAAATGAATGAAGTCAAAGGAATACTTGAAAACACTTCCAAGTAAGTGCCATCTGGCACCATAGCCAGGAGTCACAGCACCAGGGTGGGTCTTCACATCCAGACCCATATCTGCTTAGCTTTAGTTAATACTGTGTAACCTGGGAAGTTGATTGTTGACTAGGCATGGGAAATTTAGAACCTTCCCTCTTCAGGAGACCACTCAGTCTAATACCAGTCTTATTTATGTCAGGGTGATGACTTTGGCATAAACTGCCCCGTATGGTAAAGGCATGGAACACAGGCTTCTGAGAGCTCATGCATAACTGAAAGCAACCTCTCTCAGCACCCCAGGTTTGAGAATTTCATATTTTCATAGTCAGATTTAGGGAGAACACAGCTGTGCAGTGAGCTCCTACTCAGCCATTGCTTGACATGCTAAGAGCAATACTCAGGCTCAAATCTCATCCATAGAGCAAATGGTCTCACCCTTTCATCTTTGCCTTTCATCCATTATTCATTTAAAGACATCAGGGGACACCCAGGAGGGATGGCTGAGGCAGGGTCCTTAACTAAACACATCCAGTTAAACAGAAATTACTGCATCCAAACCTTTAGACCTAGGGTTGTTGGTTGTAACTCATTGATACATTGCAGAGTGTAAAGGGGGTATTCAGAAGCAACAAAGATGGATTCTTTTTCTTTTCCAAGATAAATAATCCAGGGAATCTTGTACAAATAAGAAAACCAGCATGGAACTGTCATAGTCTATGCTTGCTTGTCATAGAGGTGTGCAGAAAAAGTCAGGCAAATAGCTCTGATATGTGTGAAGTTTTGACAGCTTTAGTAGTACTCAGCAGCAGAACTAGTCTGAACAGGTCCACGTGGTTAGATATAAACAAGACTGTCTGTTTTGAGTTTCTGGTAAGTGGTAATTGGATGGCAGATGAAGAATGACTTCTAAGATGGAGAACACTTGCAGTGTTTATTCTCATGCTGTCACCAGACTTGTGTTAATAGCCACAATTACAATCTCAAACTTCCCAAGAGCAGAGATCATCAGCTACAGTTAGAGCTCTATGACCATCCCACGCACACATCTGCTATTGTAAATAAAGTTTTATTGGGTGTAGCAGGTCTGTTGATTTACATGTTATTTGTGGCTGTTAGATTCACAAAGCCTAGCAATTTATTATCTGGGTCTTTATAGAAAAGGAAAATGGTCCACCCTTACCCTAAAGCAATAGGATTCAAAAAGTAAAGGCCTGTGTGTGAGGAGGATTAAATCCAACAAAATATTTGTAACTGAAAAAGAATTTTTTTTTTAGTTTAATGAATTGCTGTAACCCTCCTCTCTCCTCTCTGCTCAGTGATGGAGACTGCAGATGGTTAGGGTTCATGTTCTCTGCCCAATGTGCAAGTATTAGCATCTTTTCCAAAATCCATTCCTGGACAAAATTGTTTTTAAAGTTTTGCAGGAATTCCAAACCTGCAATCAAGATAGAAAAGAAGATGTGGTAGCCACTCCTATGGGCTGCACACTAAACTTCAGGAAACTGCTCCATTCCAAAGTATTTTAAAAGACTGCCCAGGCAAGTGACTCCAGGGTGCACAAAGAATCCTATCCTATTGGGTTTGGCACTTTTTTTTTTTTCATATCTCAACGGATGTTGGGACATTTGCTTGTGGTAACACAGACTAAGATGTATAAAAACTGTATGTACAAGTAGAAGGCTAGTTTAGACATGTCGTAGGAAATGTTCTTTCTAGGGACTGGAAGCTTATGTATTTTTCTTAAGCAATTCCTCCCATGTCAGGTTTCTGGGTTACTAAATGTCATAATCATGTGGTGCTACAAACATTGTGTAACACATTTATTTCTACAATGTTCAAATTTATTGAATAGCAATAAATTCACAAGATGTTTGAGGTTTATTTTTATAATATGTGTATGCATATTTTGCCTCCATGTGTCTATGTGGGCTATCTGCATTTCTGGTGCTTTCAGAGGTCAGAAGAAGATGTCAAATCCCCTAGAATTCGAATTACAGCAGTTGTGAGGTACTAGGTACTAGGTGGGTGCTAGGAATTAAACCTGGCTACTCTGCAAGAACAGAAAATACTCTTAACTATTGAGCTATCTCTCCACCCCACAGTATAGCAGTTCTAATGGTATCAATTAGTCAGTCTACCTTGGTATTCTGACTGTGGCAAATATATGCTCTTATATTTTAATCTTAAGTTTCAACTCCACACAGTGCATAGCATTGTAGTAAATCCACCTATGTATTTATATGGCTATATAGAGTTACAAAAGGAATGTAAGAGGCTGAAGCAGACTTTAATAGGTTTTAGAAGTGGGCCCAGAGTAATTAGACTCTGTATTCACAAGAAAAGAATGCTGGATTATAAAGATACTGGTGTTGTAGGGATTGAGCTGCAGGAGAGTTAGTTTTCAGAATAAAGATATAATCAACTACTGAGGCAAGAGAGTAGAAACTGGTTAGAGCAAGAAATAGTGGATTCTAGTCCAGACAGAAAGGAAGTGTGTGGTAGATAGGCAGTTAAGCAGGCTACATCAACAGCCATTCTTGGTTCTTGATGCACACAGCAAGGACCCGCTGAGAAGTCAGTGTGGAGCAATGGTCATCTCAGTCCTAGGTATCTGACACTTATGGGGTCCAATTGAGGGGAGTTACTTACTTTCTCTGTTCTGGCATGTCCAGTAAGTTTTGAGGTCTGGATTTATTGATAAAATTGCAATATGTGCCCTTACAGTCTCAATCCACCCTGGTAGATTAGAGGGCAGCACCCCTTTTGATACTATGAAAAAGGCATGTATCAGTATGTGCAACATGGCTGGCTCCAGACATATGATGGTGTTTACTAGCATTTCCAGGGGCCCTGTTATTCTCTACTCTCAAAAGGGGTACAAAAGCTGCTTCTAGGGTCAGAGAGATGACCCAGTAGTCAAGAGTACTGGGTACTCTTCCAGGGAGCTACAGGTGACTCCTAACCACCTGTAACTAGCTCCAAGGGACTTATAGATACTTTCACACATGTCACACACACACACACACATACACACACACACACAAAGAGAAAGAGATATTTAAATATGCATAAAATACAAACAAATCTTTACCAAAAAATGCAGTCTCAAGACTACTCATAGCCTGAAAAACCATAGTTTTGTAGAACACAGACTGACTTATTTCAAGGTACTGCTACAATACCTGGTGAGTAGAAGTCTCAAAACGTCTCTTACTTGGTAAAGAAAGCATAGTATCTGAACAAGGGGAGCAAAACCAACTGAGTCATAAGGAATGGTTCACCTGAAATGCTGGAAACTATCCAGAAGTGAATCCACTATGTGCAGAAAACTATACGCTAATGACTCCTGGGACCTGTGATTTGAAGTAATGAAAGCTACATAAGCTCAAGCAAAATTAATTTGCACCCCATTTCTCTATGTGGATGATATTTGTTATACTGATGCGAATGATGACCATGGTGTCCTCCACCAGGTGGGTGGGATCTTTTGGGATGCTTGGGCATCTATAGTAGCTGAGTTCTTCCTTCCAGAATGTTTCTCTGACACATCCTTGCCAAGATCCCTTTGGGCTTCTTTTCATTATTGTTCTTGTCCTTGTAATGATTCCGTGTACCATTTATTCTCTACTTCTCTCTCAACCTCAGATCCTCTGTGTATCTCTTCACTCATTCCTGGCCCTATTGTCTCTGAACGCTAGCCATATAGACAATAGCATTTATGTTAGGCATATGCTATGTAATATAGTGAGTTACACTTCTATAAAACCAAATTTGCAGATAGATTATAAGTTGTTTAGTAAATGACAATATATCTTATTTGTACTCATAACTCCAGCACTTGACCCAAGGTTGTTCATTAAAAGAAAGCTTCTACCAAGCAATTATTAGATTTGGATATACAATAGTACACATGTGTATGCACACGTACAGGCACAGGCACATGCACACGCACACACACACACACACACTTCTGTCTGAGGCTTTACTTAGATATCATCACTGTTCTTTTAAGGTAGCAAGAATGCTTATTCAATGGCATTTTATTTTGAATTACTGTTATTTTATGAACAATCTCATTAAATGTTCATAACAAATTTTGGTGCATGGATGTATGTGTGACATGAACATGTGAATGCGTTTTCACATGGATATACATAGGTATTTGTACACATGTGCATGCAGGCATGACTTTGGAATTAGATATCTTTTTGGATTGCTCTCCTCCTTATGTATTGATGAAAAGTTCCTCACTAAACTTAGAGCTAGATGCTTCCAAAAGTCTGATTAACCATTTGTTCCTGGATTCCCTGTTTCTGCCTCCCACTTGCTAGGACTACAGTTAGGTCATCACATGTCTTCTATCTCCCCAGGCTCTCTGACCTTTTGTGTCTAGCTTTTTGAGGTAAGTATTATTATCAGCTTTCTTTCATAGTTGATGAAACTGGAGCTGAGAAAGCTCATTCCTGAGGTCTTCACTCTAGTCACGTGAGAGAGCCAAGTGCCCCTCAGTGCCCTCCTAAGATCCATAATTGTTAGTTGAAGGTAATGAGATTTGTAATCAGGCTAAATGAAATCCCCTTCATTTGGAGATCAGTATTGTAATTAAACTGTTCTAAATCCAGCTAAATGCAAACATTTTCAGAATATCTAAAAATAAAGTCTTATTTAATGACTAGTTTGCAATGTTTTATGTTCTCTTCCTCTGAGTTTATACTTCCTCAGTTGAGCTTTGTATTTCAGTTGATTGCTACAGATTGGTGTTTTGCAAACTCTGGTTTGTGATTCATTAGAGGATTACAAAATCGATTCACTGGGCTTAGTCCAGTGTGTTTAAAAAAATAGAGTAGAGTAGGCTGCAAATTTTCCAAATGAATCACAGGTAAAAAGGATACACATTGTTTGATGAACCACTAGTTTCATTGCACATGCCTATGTGCATACACACGTACATACCCTGTGATGTGAAGACAGTAGGTTCCTTTGTAAAGATTGTAGTTAAAATGTTTACA